GTCACAAAGTTCAATGGGAGATGTTTTTTGTTAATTATTTTGCATCAGTTAAACTGATGAACATGGAAAGCTGAAACTTTGCATGAATGTGACTACTGAGACAAAGAGTTAAATAACAATATTAAGTCTCGATACATCCCCTGGGGGAATTTTTTCGATGGGCGATGTTTTGGAAAAAAAATTGTTGTGCCGATTTGGACAGAAATGGAAAGGTGAAACTTGCCACACGTGTAAGTGACATGATATTACTGGACAGAGGGAGTATTGAGCTTTCATGGGGCATCCCCTCCGGGCATAGCTTTTTGGCGGGTCGGCTTTTCCAAATACATTTTTTACGACAGTGAAAAGGGGAAACGTATGAGGCTGAAACTGGGTGTTATGGAGTTCCCTGAGTCTACACTTTAAAAGAAAAAAAATTTTCGTTGAATCCCATTATTACACATTTTTTCAGTCCCAATTTCCTGATTATTTTTTGATTCAACGAAACAGAGACAGAAAATTTAAATTTCCTTCAGAAGTATCTGTTGGCTGAGTAGAGGAAAAATCCTAATTTTGAAATATGTCTCCTTAGCGTAGATTATGAGAGGGAAGTACCTCAAAATGTATTTCCACCCTTACAAAAAGTGTCACAAGAAAAGATTTCAAGTTAGGCACACTTATAATCATAGAGGTAATGAGTGTGATAAAAATCAATACTTTCGACCCAAATGTCATGTATTTCAATGGAGACGTACTTTAAATACATGTTTCCCATTTCGCAAAAAATTAATGAATTAATCACTAACCAAGGTAATGGAGCGCCGAAGGCGCGACCACAGTGAGTTCCATTCCAGGGGGTCTCATTTTGAAAGCCTAGGTCTAACTCTCAGGCAGACGCTTCGGCCTAAGCCATTCTCAGGCTCTCCTTGCCTTCAACAAAACGGAAGAAACGTGAGTAGCTGATGACTTTTCGATTCTAGAGAAAGTCTAATTTCGAATGCCCAACTTTGGGGGTCCATGCCCTGGGGGCACGTTTCTGGGGGAGGGGTTGGGGGACTGATTTCGCAGGTCTAGGCTCAAGCCATGGATGTATGTTTAGGCTAATACCACTCTCATACTTTTTCTTCCTTCATGGCAGCAGGATAGAAAATAAATGGCTGTATCATTCCACACCTTGGATGAAGTTTGACATAGAAGGTACGTGCCGTGAGGTGATTGATTTAGCAGGCCTATAGGTAACCCTTGGACACATGCAGAGGCCTGCTCGAATCTTGCCCGACCCATTCGCATCGAGGAACTTCTCGGCCCATCTTACCGAGCATCCTTTTGTCTTAGCCTGACGCACTAGGCGTTCAAGCTATGACGTTGGGTCATTGGTGAAGAGAAGGGCACGAGTTGGCGCGTACTGGTACGGCGCGTACTGGAACGCTTGCAGATTTGAATGGGTTCTATTTATTTTTCTTGCAGGGAAACAGTGGATGATGTTCCATTGACATTTCGATATAAGGTGGCTATGTCTAATCCACTTAAGGACGATTAGGCCAATTCTCACACTTCAACAAAACGGGAAGGTATTGCTACGGGCTGCATATACGGTTCATACGGTTTTTTCATAGACAACTGTATGGAAACTTTAGAAGAGTTTGAGAAAGGGACTGCCATAGAGTTCGTTCGCCAGAATATAAAATTAACGATAAAGTTCCCTACAGTCGAGTTGAAATTATCGGCTTGAAACTCAGAAGTAATGAGCTTATGTGTCTGCTGCCTAGCCCCCCCCCTAGATGGAGGTGTAGGCTAACGCCATTCTCATCAACACGTTCTTTCCTCCTCAGTCATTGAAGGAAGTGTGTTATTGCTACGTTATTCACTCTAGAGGAATTTAGACTTCGGAGGGAGGGAGGGGGGGTGTACACGCCCTAGGGCCAAATTTCGCAGGCCTAGGCCTACCCAATGGATGGATGCTTAGGCCAATACTACTCTCATGCACACTCCTCAAAGGAAACGGGATGGAGAATAAGTTGCTGTTGGCTTGCATACTACAGATACAGTTCGGCATTGGCGGTACTTGCCCTGATGGGAATGATTCAGCAGGCTTATATCCAACCCTTGGACGATTGCTCAGGCCTACAACGATCTTTAATATTAGCCATCTTAGCGTTAAAACTCTCAAGTGGCTTATGTGGTTCATATGGCTGCTCTTATTCCAACTTTTTTGGAGATTGTTATGCTATTAAGAGTGCCTCGACCATAGACAGGAATTGAATACACCAATAGAACACTAAACGGCACACTTACAATTGTTAATTGGAGATCCTTATGCTACACATGACATGGCGTCATTAATAATGTTCTTTAACACCTTTATTTTAATGTGCGAGAATTGAACCCATGAACAAAGGAGTTTGACCGCATTAGTAGGGGTGAGCATCGAAAACAGATGCCTTATATCGCAGAGCGCCGAAGGCGCGTCCATAGCGAGTTTGTTTTCCCTTCGGCTAGTATTTGATATCCCTTCTCTTCCCCGAAGGAGAATCCACTAATTGCCCTGCAACCTCCCCCGGTCAAATACCTTTTCCACTGTCACCCTTTTGTCAGGAAGCCAAGCCGAAGGTCTTTTGCCTTCATTAATCATCTTATTGTTCTGAGAAACATTTTTTTCCCGATACATAGACGATATCAGTCAGACCGAGGAATCTGCGACGAAATGTCGCACTCAAAGTGGTCTTTCCATGCGATCAATCTATCGTCGGATGCCTCAACGGCAACAGGGATGTCATCTAAGTATTCCCCGAGAAGCACGTCGTCCTTGGCGAGGTGCGTATAACATGGCTGCGAAGCCATAATCATAACCAACAATTTTGCATTCCACTGCAGTGGACATTATGCAAGAAAGGGTTGCAGATAATGAAGCACGTAGGGTGAAGCACTGCCGAGCGATAATATTTCTCCTTAATCCGACCCTCAGGATGAAGAAATTTACTGCAATTCTAATATTGAAGTCATTGCAATGCGTTTTTGCACAGTGGAGGACACCACATTCTTCCGTGAAACAGGGAAACGAGGTGCCACCAATCCCAACCCATTTCGATAATATCGTCAGCCATGCAATATTATCTCTCGATACGGCGTTTGATCGTCGAACGACGAAGAGTTCGATCGATCGACATCCGGTAAGGAATCGTGCGACGACGTGGTCGTCGGCCAGTCGGCCAGTCGGCATCATCAACCAAAGACTAAAAAAAATTACGGATTTATTCTTCGTATGAATCTCTGGGTAGGTTCTTTGAGTTGAATAATTGAGATTAATTTCGATTATCGCTACATTCCACACGCTCAATCACCTATGCTGCTCGAGAGACCTGCGTAAGTAAAATATGAATTCAATGAGAACTCACCTCTAGCACTGGTCACTTGCTGCCTTTAATTGCACTCTATCGTACGATTGTGTTTCGACTCGGAGAGATTGTCCAGAAATGACTGGATGCGAACATGCACCAATATTCCTTATTGCTACTAACATTCTAGTAATTGTAACATTGGCCTTATTTATCTGTAATGGCCACTCTACGTTTGTCGTTCCAACAAAATATTCTGGTGTAGTCGTCACTTGAATGGGGCGGAGAGATAGCAAGATCGTGACTTATGTATCGGCTTTGAAGTGGACACCCTGGTTTTCTTCAGAAATGGAAATTATTTGATGAATGCGTACTTGTTCAGTCTTTCGTCGAGGTTCCTTTCCAATCCAAGAACGGGGGAGCGATGGAACGATGTAAGACTCTTCGTAAGGAAGTCCGCGGCTTCCGGCATCTTTGGATTCAAAAGGGAAAACTTCAGGAATTTTCATTGCCTTGATTTTATTGCTTTGTGTTCATTGTGCAAATCCCTATATGCGACATTATGTCCTTGTCATGATATTTGCATGGAATCCTTGGAATGGCATGTTCTGTCATACTTTTCAATCCTGATTTTCTCCCCTCCTCTTAGAATATTTATTACCGATAAACGTTTCAAAAATTACCTGTACAAATAAGGGAAATATATACTTTATGTTGAGAAGTTTCCAGGCTGTGCTCATGTGGTATCTCATATTGGTTTTCAAATCTTTTAAGTTTCAAGTGAACTTGAAGACACATCTGGGGTAAATATCACGAGGAAAAAATCAACTGAACCTTGGGAATACGTGGTAAATATCAAAATGTTCGTGCTATAGTGCACCACGATGACTGAAATTGAAGTGCGCGTAACATGAAATTGCAGGACGAATGATATCGAGAAACCAAAATGACCATTCGATCCCAACTGCCATAGCTGGAAACATCCTCAGTGAAATTTCTTCCATGGGCATTCATTGAGGAGTCCTCAGGTGAGGCAGGCGGACCCTATGGGGCTGGACCCACGATCTGCACTGGGGATCGATGGCTAAGAACCCATGCAGCTACCATGCTGATGAACCATTCCAGGATCTGTATCATGGTCAACACTGCAAAAAAGTACATTTGTTATACGTAAAATAAATCGGCACGTAGTCTAGAAAATATAGGGTGTGTCAAAAGTTCTGCCAACCTTCTGTACATCTAGGGATACATTTTCGCAATATTTTGTTATCACATTCGTTTATACCTGAGACGCAAATAAAAGTTTTTGTTTGATGCTTTTGTGCTTTCACTCAGTAATATATTGATTCTGATCCAATGATCATTGAGGAAAAGGACTTGGAAAGCGACTGACAATCCGTTAGCGTTTAGCAAATTTTAAGCATGAATTCGGCCAGGACGCAACAGGAACCGCTAGGCCATTTCATAATTTAAAAAATTCCCAGAAACCTTCAGCCACAAGTCGATCGTCTGTGTCAACTCGAACAATGAGAGCAATAGAAGACCTGACACGCTTTGGATGTCCAAGTGATGGTTGCTCTGAAGAAACCTTCAAATCGGTCAGCATGAAGATTTACCCATCACTTTTAACGTGGACGCAAGTTGAGACAGTAGATATCACGATTCCTCGGCATCGGTCGAACGAATTTTGCGAATCAGAAGTTCATAGGCTTGAAATGACGTTTTTGTTTTGTTAGTGATGTTTTGTAATACGTGTCATTTGAATTTTTTAATATATGAGCCAGAGCTTCCCAGCCTTTCAAGTCGAGACCGTATTTGGAGTCGCCGAGATCATATTTTGGATCGCGAACCTGGGACGAAATTGCAAGTTATGTTTTACTATGCAATTTTTATGCATAAGTGGGAGAAACCTGTCGATCTTCAGCCACTGCTTGGGGTCCTGAATGGTTTGATTGTATTATTTGGGAACTGGTTATTTTTTTTATTAATATATTTTTTCATCGAATGCCGATGTGAACGGACTGTCTGTCGGATTCGTGACTATTGTCACGAATTGAAGTGGAGTGGTTGGTGGAAGAGGCCAGGGCATGATTGTTGAGGCACGTGATGGCATCAACACCAGCGGCGTGCAGAGTGCGTAGGCCACCATGGAGGCGAGTCATTGGGCAGTCATTGACTATGTGCGACGTTGTTTGCGGCTCACCGCATTCGTCCAATGGGCTATCAAGCAGTCCCCATCGGTGGTCATTAGCCGTACAACGCCCGTGACTGGTTATGACATGAGTCATTATAAGTCAAAAAGTGAGCAGGATGATTGACTCGCCCTCTACATTACTTTCATACTTTTTTCAATTCGTGGTTTACCTGAGGCTCCGAGAAGCAACCCTAGAGTTCCTCCGAGATCGCATAGGAGGGCGAAGACCTCATAACTGTACTCCTCTTGGATTTCCTCGTAGTTCATGTCCATATAATAGAGCTACGGAAAAGCAGAAATAATAGTTTTAAAAATACCGAAGAGTTTGTAAGGCTTTGACGCAGGAATAGAAAAATTATGCTTGTGTAACTCACTCGAGAGACGGAGACATTGTCTGTTCGAATACGGGAATCGATGGAGAAACTGTAGATATCCTGATTGCACGGCGTGGGACAGTCACATTGGTCAGGGATCCAAGCAGGGATGGTCGTGTCTCTCCCGTCCACCATTCGGATGCTCGTAAGCGAGGCGTTCCTGAACTCCTTTCCCCCATTGCACATCCTAGTCGTCGAATTCGCCATGAACGGAAGTCTAGTACAGGATGAGTAGAAAAAGTGCAGTAACTCCGTTTAACTCTAATTCGGTAATTTCTAATCTCTAATTTCCTGATATCTCAAACATTTCCACTCTTGATTAGGACTTTCTCATGGTTATCTCGAAATCAGGGTGTGAAGGGGGGTGGGGAAGTTACAGTGGAATTTATCTATTTGTTGAATAGGTTAAATGCAAGAAACCTATTCGGGAGAAAATCCTATTGTTTATTTGTTTACCCTCCTTCTCCTCACAGACGCCTGCGGAGAGGATTAAAACCGAAAAGCTTTTGCTATAAAAAGAAGCAATCTCAAGCACTTTCCCAGTCTGTCTATCCGGCCATTCCAGTCATATTTGGTTTCCGGACTACCGGATGAAAGGCGTTGTGGCGAATGAATTTTGCATATGGAGTATCAACGTTTCCATAGACATAAATAAAAGCCAATTATAATGAGAAGGTCGTTGCTCCTTGAAATCAGATTCTCAAGGACGGAAAAACCGCCCTATTATATCCCTTAGCGTGAGTAAAAAAAAAATTGTTTACGGGAAGAGGCAATTCCAGATGAGTCGAACTTCGAATAACTCGAACTGATTTGCCAGGTCCCAAAAAGTTCTAGTTAACGAGTTTTTACCGCATATAAAATAGTATTTTGGCGAAGTGCCATTAAACCAGAAGAACCTACTCCTCTTGACATTATCAATTCCTGTAATAATCTTGAAAAGCCTAGATGGGATCACCCCTCCTTAACCTTCTCTCGAGGGAGTACAGTCCCAAAACTTCTAAACGCTTCTTGTACGAAAGTCCTTAATCATTCTTGCGGCCCTTCTCTGTACTCCCTGGAGCCCCTACAATTCATCCTTATCTGTAGGTCTCCAAAATTGGACGCAATATTCCAAATGGGGTCTTATCAGCGCCGCAAATGACGGAAGAATAAAGCGCGAGTTCCAAATTGCAACCGATCGACGATTGAACCTAGAATCCTGCATTTGACCACCATTGCTTGCCCGAGCGAGGAAAGCTTGGGGTCATCGTCGATAGAAACTCCTAAATCTCTCTCTCTGTTTGCCTCCCCCAATTTAGCCTTGCCGAACATTTCGAGAGACCTACCGTTATTTCGACCGACGTGGAGAACTATGCATTTACTTTTATTAAACCTCATGAGGCATTTCTTGCTCCACTCATCCAAAAGACTTAAATGTCGCTCGGCTCTGGCCCTATCCACCTCCCCCTTATGGAAAAACCTATCTTGGTGTCATCCGCAAAATTAATTATCTTACCTGTTACGCCAAGATCCATTTAATTTATTTAGACCAAAAACAGAAGCGGTCCAAGGACCAAGCCTTGAGGGACACCGCTTGTGACCCCGACCTCATTCGACGCTTCCCCATTTATCATCACCCGTTGCCCTCCTCCTACCAACCAGCTACTGATCCACTCGCTCGTCCTACCCTGGCGCCTCCAGTTTAACCCGCAGCCTCTCGTGAGGAACGGTATCGAAAGCCTTCGCGAAATCTAAATAGACGATGTCCACGGGATTCACCTTATCCCTCTCTTCCGTCGCCCAGTCGTAGAATTTATTCTTGTGGCCCTCCTCTGTACTCCCTCTAACGCCAACAGATCGCCCTTATTTGTAGTCCTCCAAAACTGGATGCAATATTCCAAATGGAGTCTTCTCAGCGCCGCATACAACGCAAGAATAACGCGAGATGCCCTACTTGTAACCGACCGACGAATGTAACCTAGTATCCTGTGGCATTTGGCCACCGTCGCTTGCGCGTGCGAGGAAAACTTGAGGTCCTCATCAACAGATATACCTAAATCTCTCTCCCCGTTTGCCTAATCCAATTTAACATCGCCGAACGTGTCGAGAGACCGACCGTTGTTTCGACCGACGTGGAGAACTTTACAAATATTTTTATTAAATCTCATTTCTTGCTCCACTCGTCCAAAAGACTTGGACAAAATCTCGCTCGGCTCTAGCCCTATCCGCCTCCCGCCTTATGGTAAAATCAATATTGGTGTCGTCGGCAAATTTACTCATCTTACCCTCTACACCGAGATCCAAATCATTTATGTAGGCCAAAAACAGAAGCAGTCCAAGTACCGAGCTTTGAGGGACACCGCTTGCGACTCCGACCTCCTTCGACGCTTCCACATTTAAGCATCACCCATTGCCCTCGTCCTGTCAACCAACTCCCGATCCAGTCGCTCGTCCTACCCTGGATCCCGTGCACCTCCAGTTTAACCCACAACCTCTTGTGAGGAAAGGTATCGAAAGCTTTCGCGAAATCTAAATAGACGATGTCCACAGGATTCCCTTTATCCTTCTCTTCCGTCGCCCAGTCGTAGAATTCGAGCAAGTTGGTGAGAGGATTACGACGCCTCCTAAAGCCTTGCTGAGAGTCCCGGATGAGCGCATTTCCTTCGAGAAAATCCAAGATGTGGTCCCTTAAAATGCTCCCCATGATCTTACCCGGGATACTCGATAGACTTACCGGCCTGTAATTCCCTCGATCACTGTCTTCGACCTTCTTAAAGATCGGTACGACGTTCGCTTGTCTCTAGTCCTTAGGTACTTCACCACGCGAAAAGCTGCTTTCGAATATAATTCTTAGCAGAACCGATATTTCCCTCTCGGTTTCCTTGATGATTCGAGTCAGAATCCCATCGGGACTGGTCGCCTTGCACACCTCTAATTTCCTCATCATACTCATGATCGTCTCCTCGTTGATGGAAATATCATGAATGCGCCGAAGTCACCTCCAAAGTCGGTGCCGAGTCGGAATTGACAGTGAACATGGAAGCGAAAAACTCGTTAAGTATACCGGCCACATCCTTATTACCTGCAATCGACTTCTTGTTGAGCTCTGAAAAGTAATTTATAGAGGAAATATTAGGGAAAACATTTCTAGGGGATAAAGGAATCACCCAATCCCCCAATAACCCCAAAACGAAATAACCTTGAAAATGATCCAAGGAAGAAGATCGTGAATGAACGATCTTCACTTGGTTGACATTCATGTTTTACTATCGCCGAACAAAGGGAAGTGTAAACAAATACAAGATCATATGTTGTGCGTCTCATGAGAGGACTCCTAAACTGACAGGTCACAATAATTATAATTTCTCACCTGCAACCAACTCTGGCAATGAGTTCCTTCTCGTAGCAAGCCCGTTGACAATTTGAGAGAAGATAACTGGGATCCATTTCGCATGGATTACTCCCTCTGCTCAGAACTCGATACTGCTCGAAAAGAAAGAGAACTTTCAAGCGATCCTTTCTATAATGTCACCGCAACATCCTCATATTACTCCAAAATAGATTTTTATGAATACATGCAGTATCTAGACTAGTGCTCTTGATGTAATTATTGTAAAGGCGACATAAGTGCATCGACGATGTTCCAGAATTGATGAGGCACAGGCAGAGTTGCATATGCAAGCCGTTTTGACCAATACTTCTGCTGCCTTAGGCTGAGGCGCTAGGCCTACAAGGCTCTGTGATTCCATGCCATTGGTTAAGTGCAGATAACCATGTTCAGTTCTTGTTGGAAATTAATATACGCAAACGTAATGAATTATAAGGGAATTTCTTTGGAATAATTTCCTGTTTCAACTACTTGACACCAGCCCGCCAACCTACTTTAATCTCAAATTTACATTATTCACATCTGGTCCATTCGAGCAAAAATGACCCAACTACTGTATAATTCTTCAAATTTATGACATTTACTAGAATCGACCTGTTCACCAACTGTAACTCCTGTTATACTCCAGAATGACACGAATTGACCCATTAACCCAAATCGAGCTTACTCAATATCGAGTGTCGGGAAATTTCGAAAGGTTCCCTCTCTTCAAGAGCGGAGTTCTCGAATAGTAATATTGGCTGAGACTGTCGACTCTGCGATGTACCTCGTATATCGTATTGCGAAAATTGGCTTGTTAGAGTGCAGTTTGTCCATTTTTCCGCTGCTGAAAATTAATCTGTTTCCTTCCGTATTCAGCGGTTTACGCAAAAACCTTTCTGCGTGGTTTCTTTTGAATCACGGTATCCGTCGTCAGTTTATTGTTCGTATAGTGTAGTGGGAATCCCTTACGTTTCGGAGTGAGACTCCGAAGCGCAAGTCCAGATTCTTCAAAATTTCTTGGCGTTGACTGAGGGCAATCACTGTAGGGACTTCCTGCCAGTCGTGGATCACAACTTCCCATACTTCAACTACCGTGCTTTTGTTTCCATCCACTTGATCAGGTTTTGCATCCCTCTCTGCGTGCACTTCAATTTGACACATTAGGTCATTTTTGAATAATATGTCTAATGATTCCTCGAAAGAAGAACGATATTGAAACAGACATAAGCTGAGATAGAGTCCGTTGTAGACTCCGGGGAGTGTGATGTCGTTTCCTTGAAACGTGAAGCATCTTCCGGTGACAGTGTAGACTTCCGCGAACTTTCCTGCATTCTGGCACGTCGTTCCTCGACCTAAGAAGCACTAAAAAGGACCATTCTAATGAATTCGATTGCTTTTGGAAGAAGGAATACATCAGATCCCGGTCCATGCCTCTCTTCGAACACCCCCCTATCCCTCCGTACTGGGAGAAGTGGAGCGTTGCATTGGCATACCCAACATATTTGCAGATGAGATGACTGCCTCGACTGGCTTTGGGGATGGTGGTGGGGCGGTCACCAGGAGGTCCAAAAGAAATAAGGAATGGAACAAATAAGTTATTCTGCCACATCTTCGTCATCTTTCCAGTACTGGCATTGTAATCCACTGCTTACTACTTTAATAGGGATGTTCCTCCTAAGCGTTTGTCATTGTCAAAATCTCGGACCGATTTCAATCAATAGTAATTACTTATTTCCAGTGGACTTAGTTTAATTGTCTTCTTTGTAAATTTTTTAAGGGAGATTGGTCCAATCTTAAAATGTAAATACCCATTTTGGAACTTTGCTTGCTGGAAGGTCACACTTTTGTCACGGGCTTCTTTCACCTGCTCATGAATGGCTTTTTGCATTGTCACCTTCGTGGGAGAAATATTCGGTCACTGCCCTTTCCCATTCTCGAAAAATTAGCGACATGTAATAAGTTCATTCTACTAACTGTATTAGGGAATCAATTTAAACAAGGCTCAATGTCATTGCAATTCTTGGTTGAATTTTCATCCAGGTGCATAAGAAACATAGCTATTGCTCGGGAATAAAGCACTGCTTTTTGAAAGGTATCGCTGTGCCTGTGATCAATACCTCCTCAATTCACCTCGTATTTAAAAAAAGAGTAGGGGTAGTCATTGAGGGGTAGCTGTCAATATTAGAAAAAAAACCACTTGTCACGCCCCTGCAGTGTGGGTACACTGTGCAAAGCTCTTCATTAAAACTATGGAGATGTTGTGATGGCTATACCCTTAAATACTTAATGTTTTTTATGTCTGGTGATAGGTCTGGTGCGAAGTCCGTACTAGACGCGAAAAAAGGAGGGGCGATAGGACAACTTGAAAAAAAAATGCAGGTATTAGATGGCTGGCAGCGGCGGTCGATCGTGTGCTGCCCAGAGAAAAGGGACTTGTCTTCGCTTCCTTCATTTTGTGAGTTTCTCATTTCCAAATAGAACTGTGCATGCACGAAAAGTACTAGATTTCGAAAGGATATCTGGCAATCCCAGATCGCCTTCTCGATTCGGGAGGTGTTGGTCTTGGGAATTTGAAGCTATGGAAGTGAAAATAGGTGTATCATGAGAAGAGTGATAAAAGCGCTCTCATTGGTTCTCTCAGAAGCAGCGTTGGGACCAATCAGAGCGGTCAGTATTGACTTTACTCCAGCCTCCTAGGGAATGCACGAGTCATCGTACGCTGTTGATAATGCTTGTGATGTTGTAGGTTGCGAGTTGCCAGAACTTTTCGACGCCGATTTTTGTAGTCAAGGTCTCGGTTGCGGTTGTTAATCCAGGGTATTTCAAAGACCCGAATTCCGCTGTCCACAGCTTCTCCACTCGCTTTGCGTCGAATCGGTCCCCTTCAACACTAAATGGACAGTGATTTGAGGACACAACACAAACTTCAAGTCATTTTAAAAATGAAATTCGCATGCTTACTCGATTTTGTTGCAGATACTAATGGCAGGAAAGGTGAGCGATTCGTTTCGAACGAGTTGCAACCGAACTGCGATCGGTCCAGATTTGTAGGTGAAGAGACGGTCCAGGCATTGAGCCAACATCAATGCGAAACAAACGATCAGTACGAGGCTCCAGATCACTCTTCTGTGCATGAAAATTGGGAAAACAATATTGATGTTGAAATTCTTCATTCAGGAATAGGCTGATATGAAAAGGACAGAAAACACGAATCTTCTAATTTAATCGAGAGTGAGAGATTCCGAAAAGCCTGCAAGAACGGAATAAGCCGGAAAATATGATGTCCTGGACAACTCACCGGCTGACATGATGCCCACGATCGATCACGACGTGGAGGCCTGAGACGTCGATCTCATAGGGGGAAACCGTGTTGAAAGATACGATGCGACGACTCCGTCTCCCTGCTCTCGTTTTGGTCCAGTTTTGGCTCATTTCATCCGGGAGATGCATTGCGCCACGAGCCGGTTTCCTCCTTTTTGCATGCAGGCCGTTGAAAGCGCCGAACTATTTTTATTACCGGTTGCGTAGCCGTGCGTTGCAAAGCAGGGTCTTCAGGATAGAATGAACATGTTCTCCAACCCTTTGGTCTAAGGGACCTTAGGGCCTACGGCCACTGCCATTAGCGCTTTTTGACGCTGAATGCCTACAGTTGGAGCCAAAAACATAAATCGTGCTTTTTATCGTGGTCATCTAGTTGCATATAACTAATCGCGCTCGAGCACAAATTACTTCAATGGTACGGGGGAAAGACCATGTGGACATCTGAACACTTCGAACAATCGACACCGAGCATGGTGAAAGGGACTTCAATTCATTGGACATGGGACGTTAGGCACCTCTAGCAACGATTGCAATAATTAGGCTACTTAGCCTCGCAGTATCCCGATCATTTTGCTCAGGAGATTTATTTTTCTCATGAAGCTGGTGAGCCAAAGGACTCACGTTCGCGTCCTCCAACTCCAAAAGTATGTAAACTACTATTGTTGTGCCGGAGCACATCAAACATCGGGAGGGCAGAATCAAAATGCTGGGAGTGTTTCGCGGCCGTGGATTTAATCATCGTAATTTGTGGAAAATTGAGTCTTGGTCAATACTGAAGCAGAGGTAAAGCAATATTGGGAGAAGGTGTCTGGAACCACGGCCGAGCTGGTGAGAGAACGTCCCCAGCCTTAGAAGACTCAGGAACCTCTGTGTTTTCAATTCACAATAGTTATCTGAAGTTGCTGGGGGTTCGCTATTGAGGTGGTGTTGGAACATCGGCAAATAACCACTATAATTAAACGGAGGGTTCTATGATGAGGAATTCAAAATGATGGCATCATACGAGGCGCATTTCATTCTGAATCAAGGAATCGAAAGCTTTACGGATTCTGATGAAAGCAAGCAATACCGTGAGCGGCAAATTTCCGCGAGGCAGATTGAATCGCGAAAATAATTGGCTTGCGAAATTTCATTGGAGAACTTTCTTTCACCATCCTCAATTCCCCGTTATCCAGGGCTCATCAACTGGAGCTCACATTTTCCGTCAACCATTTCTTAATGCTAAAAAGTATCAGATACTATTATAAGTTTGTTGGTTGTGGAGAAAAACTTGGAAATGGAGCTCCTGGTCTGTGAATGGAGTATGAAACTGGGTTGACCCAGATGGCGAATCTGAAAATTTGCCTTTCAAGGCAATTTCGCAAATCTTACGATCTTGAAAAATTAAATCGACATGGGAAATTTGTTCTTCTTTCTACTTTATTCGTGTACTTTCGCAATTATAGTAACACGTGGTTGGGAATCTTCCCTTCGTTTCGAGAGGACACTGAGCCAAAGGGCAGATGGATTTATCCAGATGAAGGAATATCTCTTTGAGAGCCTCAATTACATTATTGGCACAGTATTGGCACATCTTGCGAAATGATCGGGTCATGTAGCTGCTATTTTTCTTTTACATGTTGTGCAGTATATTCCATGTGATTATGATATTTAAAAAATCATGTGATTATGATATTTATATTGTTCTTTTCATTCGTTGCATTCATTCATTTCACATGCACAGAGGCAGCTCTTCCTTAAAATATCGCTCAACCCAATAAGGTATACGAGAAGCACTCAGAAGTTCTTCAATGTGTTTGTTTCCTTTCGTGATGGGGCATACTGTGCAATTGTAATAAAATGCCTTGGTAGCGCCTATTACCTTTCTTCAACCCCTTCCCTAAAAACAAATCAACCTCGTGGTATTCCTCTCTGAGAGGATTAACATGCGTGAAATCTGACATGCTTCTTCCTCTCTCAACACAGAATCACGCCAGCAAATCAGAAGCTCTCTCTTCTTCGGACTGGGAAGATCACTGAATCTTCACTCTTGGAAAAGTGAAAGGCGGCAAGCAGTGGCCAACCGATTTGGTTGGATGTGGAGGTATCTCATCCGGACACATCCAAGTTGACAGAATAGCGCTCAGCTTGTATGTCATACTTCCTAAAGGGCTTCTCTTCTCAGAACTAGTCGAGACGGTTCGAGGAACTCTAGATAGGCCTAACGTTCCATGTCCGTACTGAAATGGTTAATGAAACTTGAAACAGACCTCTCATCAGTGTAACGTTTCACATCCTCCCTTAAATGGGCCACGGGAGACCGAATAGGCCTGCGGTTGGCCTAACTTTACGCGTCCTCGACGAGATGTCTCGAAGCCCAGGGATTAAACCATATTATTCGAAGCCCAGGGATTAATTAAACCATTAGGAATCGGATATCCCATATGGTTTCCTTCTGGTTCTATCCCGGTGGCTACTGCCCCCACGTCCCCGACACGTTTGAATCTCTTGCTATGTTCACACTCTTATTTCCTTATTATTTTTACCTCCAAAATATATCCAGACTTGCAAAATCTCGGACCAATTGTGCTGCGATTCCCAAACCAAATGAGAGGAAGACGCGGAACCGTATCGATATGAAGATACTCGCGTCAATCACTTAGCTCACGATGAAAAACATGACACACATGTCGGAGGACTTGAACCATGAGGAAACTCACGACCATTCTTGATGACCCTCGCGACTGAAACAATACAGAGCTTACTGCGGAGTCATTGCGAAGTGCGCACGGAGGACAATAGGATAGAATGCCTGGTGGAGCATCCCGAAAAGTAATATTATGCCTTCATTTGTCTTTCTCAAGGTGAAATTACGCTGCGGTCGTCATTCGTCTTCCATTCAAGCATCGACGTCAACGTCCCGGGAATCTTCATAAACTATACATAATGCATGTATAAGGTATGGCTTCTATGGACTCATGTGGTTTACGTATAAATTCATTATTTCGTTCCTGCCTCGGTCATACCTTTTCGAGTGAATAATGTGTTATAGCGAAAAAAATGTACATCTTTTTCTGAGGGACATAACTCCCCCAGTAGCACGGCCATATTGGAATAATATCGGCTGCGAAGGAATATAAATATTGAGCCCGTATCGGCACTCATCTTGGACCATTATTGGGATTGGTACCTTGACCGATATTTGGCCGGTATTGGCGATTCTACTTGGTCTAAAATTCATTACTGAGCGGAGGTATACCCAGAGTGGTGACATTTCTATTTGCCGTACTAATACAACCCCCCCCCCCCCCCATGCACACGCCTGAACCATAGATGAGCGGGACCATGATTCGGTAGAGGGTTTTCATGAAGAATGTGAACTTGTTTACGGCCTGGGCTCCATGACTCTGTCTCGATTATGGGGATAATAAGCGATTAAGTGTCCGAGTTTATTGATTGCTACGACGAGGCTTGGCGAGAATATGGCAAGGTACTAAAAACTCCTATGAGATGGAGTCCAGGGAAAGAGAGCAGGGTACTTTTGTGTACGTGACCTGGTCATTAGTGGCGTGTAGGAGAACTTCCAAATTTCCCAAAGACGTCTAACTGCAACTTGGGCATATGTGATCATGGCGTCAGTTCGACATTATATCAATGATGGAATGGCACTATTTTCAGGCCAACACTCAGCCGATTTTGGCAATATTGGGCAAGATGTAGGCTACTTGCCCAATGTTGGTTCAGCATTGAGCCAATATCTAGTGCTACTGGTGTGGGGATTGAGATAGACTTGTCCCGCGGTCCCACTTTGGCCCAGTGTCAAATGTTGACGTGCTCCATGACATTTAGGATATTAAATGAGGTTTCGAATGAGATTCTACAGTATATTTGTACAGTATTTCATTCTTCAGCTGCATTGCGGGGACCTTGCAACAGAGTCTCACGGGTCTGGCTGGAAGAACTCCAGTGAGTGGAGTTATTTTCATTGTCAAATTTTGAAGCCTTCACTTGCTGTACGGAATTTGAGCCCTTGTGATTTCATTCATTATTCATATGGCTATTTCCGCGCTATGGATGTGCTTCTTTGGTAAGTCTCTTGGGTGATATCGTCTTTTATCACACCAAAATCTACAATACGCAGCCTCCACCATCTCCTCTGACCCTGTTCACGTCATTTGACACACTCCGTCCACTGCGTGGTGCGTCTGCGAAGTTCCCCGTGCGTCCAAACTTATTAACATGTTGCCTAATGGTGAAGTCTAATGGCCCTGCTTTGTGGAACCGTCGTTGGGTCACCGCACAGACGTCCGTGCAACTCCGATCGCTAAGAGGCAGGTTACGATCTCGATTCGCTCATTTGTGGTGTACATGTTGCCGTGGTCCGGGAACAGCCATCAATTGATAAGCGCCATGAGCTGCAGGCCGCCATATTATTCCCTATCCCCACTCTCTTACTGCGGAGTCGGGAGTTCGACCGGTGGCATGTTTTGTAAACAAGACTGGTATGGGAACCCGTGAACGCCGTTAATCTTTCTGCCACCACTCCTCAAATATAATGAGGGACATTTGAGTCAACCTGCTCTGTAGGTGAAGAGTATGCTTCGATGGACATGTGCTGGATGTGAGGATGCTGTCCTGCAATTCTCCTCGTGGGCAGCAATCATTCTCTTTGGACGGTTTGTCGAACCGTTGCAATGCTCGCCGGTGATTTCCTAGTCTTGGGTCGTCCACTCATGTGTTGGTGTAGATCTTTCACAGTACCCTCACTCTCCGATCGATTGAGGAGTAGGTTGTATGCAATTGTATATCCGATTGGTGGCAGATGCTGTCCTGAGTGAAGGAACAATGCCAACAGGGAGAAGTCATGCTTTTTCCAAAATTGAGTGAATGTCGTCTGCACAGCCAACATGAGACGTGATGCATGCAAATACGAGGTGCATACCAAAAGTCCTTGCCGTTAGCCTATAGTGGCCGTGTGCTTAACTATGTTAAGACCATCCGTTTGTTTTCGTTGTCTGTATTCCTTTATCAGCATCAATCGTTTCGTTTCTGTGACGCAAGTGACATAATTTTTGCTACGGGGAACACGATATCCATCACGAACGGCCCTGGTATCTGCAATTTTCCAGTGGTTCAAAGGAACACCCGAAAATGACTTCCTACAGTCCTTCCACGACTGGATAAAAAAAGGTAGCGACTGTCCGTAGAAAAAGAAGGAGATTTCGTGGAATAGCGAATGAAGTTTGAATTTCACCCCCGCCCTGACAAGCTGTACTCGAACGGCACGGACTTTTGGTATGCACCTCGGGCGTATTTCCCTTTAGAAAAACAATGGAGCTTTTTATGAAACACCCTTCATTTC